TCTCTCTCTCTCTCTCTCTCTCTCTCTCTCTCTCTCTCTCTCTCTCTCTCTCTCTCTCTCTCTCTCTCTCTCTCTCAGGAAAGCGTGTCGGTCGTCACATGTTCTCACAAATGTCCATCATGTCTGTTGTTATAGATGGTCGTTTCAAATGTGTCGACAACCGTGGCGGGTGAGAGTTTTGAATGTACGACCGAAAACCTGCAGCAACAGATATCGAACATCATGTTTGGAGAAGGCGCTAACAAGTTGTGCGATGTGAATCCAGGGAGAGGTGTGACAGGAAATGATACGAGCCAGAGACGCACGTTGAAATTAGAAACTGAGGAATTGTTGGGTGCTATTTGCGAGCATGCAAATGTGGACGTGGAAAAAGAGGAGAAAACGAATTTGAGTACGATATCAAACACTGCAATGTACACAGTTTCTAAAATTGCACAGTTCTCAGGGATTGTGTCATAAAGACTATAGCAGGAAACGAATTTGGGTACGATATCAATTGGAAACCTGGCAAGGTGCAACCAGGGTTGATCGGTGCTCAACACTGCATCGCTTTTAAGAGTGGTGACACATGGGTTCCGTATCGTCCGCCAAAATTAGAGACATGGCGTTATATCATGGCAGCCATTGTTTTCAACCGAGTGAAAAGGATAAACGACGGGGTAGCGGTTGAGGATTTGGTCAAATACACAAATGTCCTTACTAAGAGATTGATAGACAAGCGGGAGATACGACTGAATGATTTTTTTAATGATCATTATGAATCGACCGAGCAATGGGTGGTTTCTGAAGACGGAAGAGGCGGGGATGAAGTTTGTGAGGATAATGATGCAAGACGGGATGCACGGTGGGGTTCGATGCCGTCAACCATTCCTTGTGACTATGGGGAGATTATGATTTTAGTCCGCGATCTAATGGGGAACTGTTGGAGTACAGTTTACATAAACGGCGAGTTCATCTCTCGTTGTTTGGACAGGGATCTGCTGGAGTCCGAGAAAGTGTTTATGGGCATCGATGATGCCGCGGGAACGCAATTCACGATCCCGCTCGAAAACCCGGTGTTGTCACCAATTATAGAGGGAAAATTTGTTTCTGGGGAGGATAACATTTGTCTGCGACATGTAAGAGGCAGGGAGGTCACTTATGATGGTCTGTTCATTAGCATATGGGACCCGGATATCACAACGCCGGAGAGGGTGCGTGACATTGACATATCCGGAACTGTTATTCCACAGAGTGAGTTCAACAAACATTCATCGACTGAGATGTACGGTTAATATGTGAATTGGGTACCCGGTGTCTTTCATCCTACCATCTTCGAAAACAAAGTTACGATGGCAGGCAGACTGCATTTAGGCGAATGGCTACGTATGGGTTGTATGGCTTCGGGATTTGTTGAGAATTGGCAATTCATGGTTGTTCTGGCTCGTTTGTCGTTGTGCAATTCTAGAGTGAACGGCAAATCATTATTACGCGAGCATGCAAAGATGTGTTGGGATAAAATAAAGGTGGAGGACCGTCAGATGTTATTGGTTCGATATGATGGGCGTGAAGATGAGAATATGTGGTCAATGTAGGGCGATGGTGTGGGCACAGCATTTTTGAATGATACACCTCATAATTGTCTAAGGCTCATTCGTCGCAGACATGGGCGGGCAACACTTCTTGAATGGGTACCCGTTGTGTGTCTCATGCCTTATGCGTGTGGGGCCGACGCGTCGATGGTCTTCAGAGACCCTCTCGCTGTTCCGTTTTTTGTGACGTACTCAGATGGTTTGCTGCATCACATTCAGTACATGCCGGCGGAGGACATGGCAGGCAGCGATGATAACAGGGGCATTTCAGAACCTCATATTGCACGCACAATACAACCGGCATATAAGGTAAATGGACCGCCTGCAAACACGGACGTGGCATGTGCTGCAAACAAACCAGCTGAAGACACAGATGCGGGATGTGCTGTTGTGGACAAGAGCAGACCACCAAGCGGCACGATAGACAACGATGGTAGCCGGAAGATTGGACGAGGAATGAAGCGGATGGCCACAAGCAGAAGAGGCAATGGGGGAACACCGACGCTAGCACAGAGGGGGACGGGAGGAAATGGGAAGGGGGGAAGACCACCAATGGCATGTGGACGAGGGAGAGGACGGGGGAGGGGGCAGGGAGGAGCAACAATGGATGGCCCGGGGGAAACACGAGGGAGAATTGGTGGAAGCGAAGGGGTTCTGAGACGCAATCGCCGACCTGGAAAGGCTGCTGTGGCAGAATGCGCCGGTTGCAACGCAGCACAGACCTTTGCATCGCTTACAGACCATTTGTAAGGCTAGGGAACGAGATTGTGCAGAAAGAAAAAGTTGCAACAAATCCAATGCGGTTCCAGATGCTTGCAATTTGTGCACTTCTCGAGGCAGTCGGAGTTTATCTCGTGCATTTGATGGAGAGTTCGAACGAGGTTGCAATCCATTCGAAGCGGGTGACGATCTTTCCAAAGGATATGAGACTTGTTGACGCGTTGCAAAAACCACGTTGGTGTGTCTT